GCCACAGGCAAAACATGTACAGGGAGACAACGTAAGCATGCAGAGACACGGGGATCGAGTACAGACGCACATGTGCCCATATAGGTGGCACGCATGCAGATGGATGCGCACACATGCAAATGGATGCTTTTCAAGATGAAAAGAGAAGAAGTTTAGATTATATTGTGAACAATACGACCACGGGTAAATACCCATGGTCGTAATCAACATACCACAATGAGGTTTAAAGAGAATATAAAATATATTCGAATAATAAAAGAAATTCCAAAAATATAAGCATGATATATCAACCATTTGTAAGCATGCATACAACATGGAAATGCTCTTCATCGTAAGATTATGAATAAATTCCGAGCACCCAAATGATCATCTTCAAATGGAGTCAATATTCAGAACAACTCACAATGCCATGTCGGTCATGGGGATGTGTTTTACTATACTTCCCCATGCTGGTCAGCCCCATACAGGTGTATTAATCAGTAAAACATACATGCATATTCTGTGGAGAGATGCTATGATACAAAAATTGTGTTTGATCTGCTTTTTTCATTTTCAACAGTATTAGGATTCAAATTTAGCCAAATTAAGTACAGAACCAAAATATTTTTCGTTGGGTTTTTTTGTGCACTCATTCGTGACCAGGCTGAGATCACCAACTCATGACGCTTGGGAACCCGGTTAAATCACTGTGGTTGGGCGGCTGTAATCTGGATTTGATCCTGGAATCTCAGCAGTGCCGGCACAGCATCTCTGACCCCTGGGGCACCCAGCCACCTCCCAGAATGCACTTATTTAATGGGCCATTTTCTTGGCGTTCAGATCACACTCTGAATAAAACCTCAACACATTCATCAAAATAAACAGTATTAGGATTCAAATTTAGCCAAATTAAGTACAGAACCAAAATATTTTTCGTTGGGTTTTTTTGTGCACTCATTCGTGACCAGGCTGAGATCACCAACTCATTACGCTTATGAACCCGGTTAAATCACTGTGGTTGGGCGGCTGTAATCTGGATTTGATCCTGGGATCTCAGCAGTGCCGGCACAGCATCTCTGACCCCTGGGGCACCCAGCCACCTCCCAGAATGCACTTATTTAATGGCCAATTTCCTTGACTTTCAGATCACACTCTGAATAAAACCTCAACACATTCATCAAAAACGATGCACTCAATAGGGCAGAACATCGAAAAGGCGACGTTTCAGGCAATGGTCCTTTACAGCAATATCCATTGCAGTCTTATTGACGAATATGTTGAGGTTTTGTTATCCCTGCTTGTGCGCCACGGAGCTTCACGAGAACACGTTTAATTTTAGCCGCGCTCCGTGCAACAAGGGGACGGGGAGGGGGGTTTGGCGGCAGCCAGGGTACCTCCTCAGAACGGTGGATCTCGAGTTGGTGCAGCATCTCGTGGAGGCTCTTATCCTTCTGGCTCAGGGCGCCACGCAGGGTGTTAAAGTGCGCTCGTGCCCTGCCCAGGTTGGCCCGCAGGTTCGACACCTCCTGAGACAGCTGGTGCATTTCGTTCTCCGGCATTGGCAACTGCGACGGGAGCAAGGGCACATGGCATGGGCACGTTAGCTCCTCCCAGTGTAAATCCTGCCTTCATTCGCATCGTGACGGACGCCATTTGACAGGGATGGTGGAAAAAACACCATGGCACATGACAAGTGAAGTGCCTCATACGCAGGTAGACACACATCGGACAGATACGCTGACACCCACACACCCACGCAAGACAACACGATTCCTCACACAGCCTAAACACCGTGGTAGAACGCGCAGCAGCGTTGGTCTCAGAAACTCATCCACCGCCATCTCTGTTTACATTCGCTCAGCCAATGAGAGTGACGAACGCTCTGGGACAACCAGCAACAAACCCCCGCGATTCAATAATGACGATGTATGGTCACGAGTACATTAAAAAAATCGATAATTTTGTCAATGTTGTTACAATCTTTGTTATTCAGTATTATCACAGTACGCTCTGAGCCACGCAGCGCTCGCCAGTTTTTAAAAGACACCCTGGTCCGCCGACGTGTTTGCTCTTCCTTGGTCTCTCTTTGCCTTGTTTTCATATTTTAGTGAGCATGTTAGCCCCAAAATGTCTGGAAAGAGGCCTGTAAATGTGTTAGTGCTGGAAATGAGACCAACAGGTCAAGGAAAAGTATCACTTAGAATGGTAACATGCAAGTGATAATGCCGGTCGAGGTGGGTGAGCATCAGGCGAGTACATTACATAATACTTATTGATAATAAAAAAATGTATATTTGTTTTGATACAATGTTTACCATCTGATTTATTACTGTAATTAAATTGCGCTGATACTGACACCCCAATGAAGCCCTCATTTATTGTTCATGAGAGACAACGCTGTTGGGAAAGCATCCCCATATGTACAATGGTATAATAACCCTTTAAGCGCTTATTCGATGAATGCCTTTATTATGATGAATGCTCACTTCTCCATCTACGCATCTTCAGCGCAAAGCGAGGACTGCCTGTATTAATTCCATACAGGTTTGCAGCGGTGGCCTCCACTCCAGCCTCGCTTTGACTCCGCTCTCTTGCCAAGTACAACTCTGCCATCAAAACGCACCTCCACTGTTGACAAATTCAGTGTCTCCTGTGTGGCTTTCAACTGTGGTATGCTGAAGGATCTCATTGATGCTCTTGCCGACCCAGAGAAATAAACACAGGCCACCTCGCAGCGACAAGAAGTCCATGCAGTAATGACGTAACAATTAATCACGTAGGCATTGCGCTACCAGTATTATTCATAATAAAGGTTTTTGGGTTAGATCGCGTTATTATAATTGTGTCGCAACCCTCCACCACCCGACACGTCCAATCAGTAGAAAATGTGTCACGTTAACAAAACGCCAATTAGTTACTTCTTCAGCCCACCGGTGTGTTTGAAGAGTGAATCCACAACATTTAGCATTTGAGTACGACGTTTCGCTGGTAATTACATCCAGCATCTTCGGGCGATTTGCCAGAATAGTGAAGCCACCCACCTGCTTCCCGTCTTAAACAGTGCAGGATGACGTCATCATCGTTGAATCCCATCAGGTTTTGAGATCAGAGGCGGAGGTGTGGGGGGGTATTGTAATTGTATAATAAATTAGCAATCATATTCTTTGGGTCGGCATCCTTTTTAAATCCTTTATATTAAGTTCGCTTGTTTGCTTGCGTGCTCGCGTGCTTGCTTGCTTAAGACCGTGCAAATCTTTCGGTCGTTTTTTAACCCACTTCCCGTGATCCAATCGAGCTGACATTTTGCACACAGACTCGTTGTGCGAGACAATTAATGTTCGTGAAATTTTTTTTCCAAAATTTTACACTGTTTAGGGAAAACTAATTAAATATTTAATTACCAATTGCTTAATACTGGCAGACAATCATCTGACCCATAGGTGGCAGCCATCTCAAGCGAGAGGACGAGAGGACTCTAGCCGCCACGCATATAAAGGATTTATAGTGAAAAATTTTGTTTTTACGAGTTATACTTGTTAAATCCTTTATATTAAGCTTGCTTGCTTGCGTGCTTGCTTGCTTACGACCGTGCAAACCTTTCGGTCGTTTTTTAACCCACTTCCCGTGATCCAATCGAGCTGACATTTTGCACACAGACTCGTTGTGCGAGACAATTAATGTTCGTGAAAAATTTTTTTTCCAAAATTTTACACTGTTTAGGGAAAACAAATTAAATATTTAATTACCAATTGTTTAATACTGCAGACAATCATCTGACCCATAGGTGGCAGCCATCTCAAGCGAGAGGACGAGAGGACTCGAGCCGCCACGCATATAAAGGATTTAGAGTGAAAAACTTTGTTTTTACGGGTTATACTTATTCCTGATGCCGACCGCTTGTGTTGTGATCGAAACGTCGTAGGTTTTTTGTTACTTTTTCTTATTTTCTTTGAAGATATCTACGTGACTTTATCAAAAGACCCAAAGAATATGAATTCTTGCAGTCACGAAAGCTTTAAGGGGCCGTCCATAAATGACGTCACGCACATCGGGAGGGGGGCGGGGGGATTGAGAAATGTGACGTCACATCAAAATGCGCAACTTTAAGGGAGGGGGAGTAAAACATCTGCCAAAATCGCGTGACGTCATTTATGGACGGCCCCTAAGTCAAGATTAGTAATGTAAATACAAGCGAAACGTCGTACTCAAATTCTAAATGTTGTGGATTCACTCTTCAAACACACCCGTGGGCTGAAGAAGTAACTAATTGGCGTTTTGTTAACGTGACACATTTTTTACTGATTGGCCGTGTCGGGTGGTGGAGGGTTGCGACACATTTATAATAACGCGATCTCACCCAAAAACCGATATGAATGACGTAACAGACATTACAGTGGTGACGTCATTGGCTCCACCCTATGTGGGCGGAGCCAACCCTATATGGGCGGAGTCTACGGCTCGTCCTTATCGCGTCACCAAATACCACGTGACCCCCAGGCACAGCTGCTGGACAACGGCAGTTGGTCCGAGATGCTGTCACCATGGCAACGCAAACAAGGACCACCTTGCCCAGAGAAAGCTCCTTCCGACTAAAATCCTTGATGAAACTCTCAATCTGTGATATTAAACTATGAACCTCCTTACCTACGTATCGAACATTCAATTTTAAAGTTAAAATAAAAAAAAAATCGATATATTTTTTCTCGATATGATCACGGTATTTAATTCGTATAACTCCGATCGATGCCGCTGAAAGGCAAGAGGTGGCGCCACTCACCTCCACTGTTGACGAATTCGGAGTCTCCAGCGTCGCTTGCAACTGCTGCGCTCTCTTGAAGAACCTCATAGTTCCTGTTGGGGGCGCAAGAGATAGAAGCAGCCGCTCAGCTCGCTCGCCCTGTCTTAGTGACGTCAAAGCCGGAGGTGACGTCATTGGCCCCGCCTACTGTGGGCGGAGCCAGAGCCCGTGAACCCCGCCCCCTCAGACACCCAATGGGGGCAGAGGAAGCTCCCTGCGACTTGAGACTCGGAGCCTCCTCGCCACGTGTCGAGAGTTCAATGTCGCAGTGAAATTCACTGACGAGGCGACTGTCTCTGGTCTTGGTGTGCTCCTTTGACTGTCGGTGTTTTGCCGTCTTGCCCAAGCTTGGATATGATGTTGACAAATCTACAGGAAGGTATGTGCTGCACAGTTTGTTTTTGCACTACATATTTATTTGTGACTTGATTACATTTTTTCAATCCTGACTCTAGTATCCTTTATTACATTTTGTTGTTGATGCAACCGGCTGACCCGCCCCTTCTGGACGTGTGTGAAAGAGAACGTCAAGCTCATGAGATCCCTCTGGGATAAATACGCGCACGCGTGTAGGTAGATGTAGCAGACACGAATAATTGACGATAATTCCAGATGTATGAAGTATTTTATTCGATGTTTCGTCACAAATCAAACATCGAGCATGAGCAACAAATATAACACTCCTGAGACGGACACCTCCCTTACTGACCTCGCCTCCTCACCCATCTGCTCGTTATCTTCACTCCTCAGTTCGTCCTCCTCACCTCGTCCTCACCCCTCACCTCGTTCTCCTCACATCCTCCCACCCTCTTCGTAGCAGGCACGTATAATCTGTTTTTTACCTATATAAATGTCATTTTGTGTCTCTGTCTGTGAGTGTTGACGCGCTTGCGAGGGATTTGGCTCTCAAACGGTGGGGTTCGCGTAAACCAGGCATGTCCAAAGTCCGGCCCGCGGTCAGATTTCATACGGCCCGCAGCTTCGGTCTTATAATGTGTAATTTATAATGTGTAATTTATAATGTGTAATTTATGGCTCGCTAGCTCTGTCAGAATAAATAAATTCCTCTTTTCACCACACGGTGGCAGCACCATTCTAATGCTATCTGGCTCTTGAATAACTTCTACGGTGACGTAATACATCACAACGATGTGAGGTGGCTGTTCCTTGATCAATCTGAAATTTAGTGTTTTGAACGGTAACATCTGTCACTATTAACAGTGAAAAGCCTAAAGCACACTAATGCACTTGGACTTATGGCACTTGTTTTATTAAACTCTTGAATAAGATTTGGTTATAACTGTTGATGTTATCTACCTGTAGATGTGACACAAACTATTTCTTTCTGAAAGATCTTGTAAAAGACAAGGGCAAAATTCACTTGTTTTAAAGTTTAATGATAACAGACCACTTTGCATTACTTATAACTCCTGTTTAAAATGTTCATGAGGCAAAGATATTTCACTCATGGAAATTTAAGGTATTCTATACAGTTTGTTCAATGTTATCTGACTGAATGAAAGCCAGAATTGCGTTTTTAGAGTTGTTCACGTCTGCCTGAGTGGCTTATATTTGGTTACATTGTCATTTGAAAAATTAAGGTAATTGTGACAATGATTTTTTTTTATAACAGTGTGTGTTTTCATGTAACTTTTGTGGCAAAAAATGTCAGAAGGAACTATTGGCCCCCGGGCATCTTCACTTCATGAAATTTGGCCCTCTTTGCAAAAAGTTTGGACACCCCTGGCGTAAACAAAAATTAGCCAGGTACCACGCCGGAAGCCCCGTGCTTGGCATAGGCGATTCCTTTTTCACGCCCTTCACCTTAAAATTAGTTAAATTCGCGTCTTTTGCCGATTTTTCTTTATTTTAAGAGAAAGTTTCGCGATTATTTATTGATTTCGCTTCGCCGCGCGCGGGCTGACAACGCAGCCAGCTGCACTTGCGCACAACGCGCACGAGGTGACCCCCCAGCAGCAATCCGCACGCGCCGTCGCCAAAGGTCAGGCGCACACTTTTGTATTATGTGCATTTAAACAAGACGTAAGTCGCACACATTAGTACTATAAGCATGAGTGTAATTACACTCATTCTTATAGTACTAATGTGTGCTCACATGGGTTGCCCCTAGCAACGCGCACACGATCGGCACGAATTTTAATTCGCCTCAAACATGCAGCAAAAACACACGGAACACGTAAATTATTCACAGTCGATGTCCTCTTCACCCCACCCCAATGATACCCCAATGCGTCCTGAAACTACTATAGAGCGCCCAGCCCCACAGCCTGCCAAGGTCACACCTCGGCCGGCTGGGAAATCTAGGCGAGGCCGGGGCTCTGCACGGGACTAGGCCTCACTACGGCACTCTGTCTGCTTACTACTTTGTGCTATAGATTCGATATATACTGCTATAAAGTCAGCATGTACTACTGTAGTGCTAGCAGGTAACCACCACAGTCACTATACACTGCTGTAATCATAGCAGGTACCACCACAGTCAGTATACACAGCTGTAATCATAGCAGGTACCACCACAGTCACTATACACAGCTGTAATAATAGCAGGTACCACCACTGTCACTATACACTGCTGTAATCATAGCAGGTACCACCACAGTCACTATACACTGCTGTAATCATAGCAGGTACCACCACAGTCACTATACACTGCTGTAATCATAGCAGGTACCACCACAGTCAGTATACACAGCTGTAATCATAGCAGGTACCACCACAGTCACTATACACAGCTGTAATAATAGCAGGTGCCACCACTGTTACTATACACTGCTGTAATCATAGCAGGTACCACCACAGTCACTATACACTGCTGTAATCATAGCAGGTACCACCACAGTCACTATGCACTGCTGTAATCATAGCAGGTACCACCACAGTCACTTTGCACTGCTGTAATCATAGCAGGTACCACCACAGTCACTATACACTGCTGTAATCATAGCAGGTACCACCACAGTCACTTTGCACTGCTGTAATCATAGCAGGTACCACCACAGTCAGTATACACAGCTGTAATCATAGCAGGTACCACCACAGTCACTATACACAGCTGTAATCATAGCAGGTACCACCACTGTCGCTTGCCCTGCTGTAATCATAGCAGGTTACGCCACAGTATCCACTGCTGTAGTTAAAGCAGCTACCACCACAGTATGCTCTGCTGTAATCATAGCAGGTACCACCGCATTAAGTATGCACTGCTGTTGTGAAACAATGTACCACCACAGTATGCACTGCTGTTATCATAGTAGGTACCTTGTGGATTGACAGATGCACAGATTAATATGATAGCGCATGAATGAATGAGTGTACAGCTGGACAGCAAATGAATGAACAATATTTTCTATCGCCATTGAAAAAAAACTAACACTGTAATCAATCACCCGATACGCCTGCTGAACCAACGTATCCTACAGGAGCATATGAGTGTGTTTCATACATTACCTGGGTGTTTGTTTCTTATGTATGATCGGTATGCGTTCTACGCACGATCCATATGTGATATTAAACAAGATATTTGCCTGCTTTCCGAATGATCTGCACGTGTTTCTCGCATGATGTCTGTTTCACACGTGTTCTGTGTGGGTGGCCGGGACAATCCTCGGCCGCCTTTGTCTCTCGAGTTGCGATGTGTACACATTGCACCGGATCATCATTTAAAGCCGACCTCTAGAGATCCAGGACCGGTTCAGATTATCGTCACTGGTGATGGTGGCCGTAAGCGGGAATCGGTACATTGGATTCATCATAACGCAGCTTTCTAAACCCACACGCTCACAAACAGGACTGCAACTCATCCACCTCGCGCATCTGTGCCAGAAACTTCCAATCGTGGAGCAACGCATGAATGAAGAGACCCGACTTCCCATCGGGATATGATGGCTGGCAGGCGGTTGTTGCTATCCCGCAGGAAGCGGGCGCATGTAACGCTCACCTGAGCGTCGCGAGGCGTGCCCCGCAGGTGGTATCACATGGGATGATGCATGTGCGTCCACGTCATGGCCCTTTCACGAGTCCGCTGCTGTATGGGGACCTCCCCACCACCACGACCTAGTGGATCGTTGACCATACTTCACCACGCTGGTCGGTGCGGGTTGGTTGCAGGTGTGGGAAGCGGGGCATTATGCAAGGGTTCATGTTGCTGTACTGCCCCTTTGCTGACCACGTGGCAATTTCCAGATTCATTCAGCAAGTGCGCAATCGCCGAGCCATGCGACAGCGCCCCCGGTTTGCCACGTGCAGCTCTCGTAGACGATGACAACAAACACAGCACCCTGCTCTACGAAGCCTGACAGTGGTCATGATGATGGCGGTGGTCGTGGTTCGTGTGGTACCCATCAGATTAACAAAAACTTAACATTTTTTTATTTTACCCGGTAAAGCTCAATGAACTATATAGGTGTTTCTCAGAAGCTACTTGGCAATCATAAATTATAGCTCAACGAAGTGGCTTATCACGTGGATATGTATTGCAGCCTCGATATCACAGCCAAATACAAACCCTCTGCGGGTAACCATGAGCCCGGGCAGCAGGGGGGAAGTGGGCAGATGGTCAGGGGCCAAGGAGCAAGGGGAGGATGGAGAAGGAGCAAGGGGAGGATGGAGAAGGGCAGCGGGGAGTGGGTCAGTGGCGCGGAATGTTCTTGTGATGCAAATGTTGACTGATATTTATTGAATACAACTAGAACAATTTACAAGTGTGCAATCATCGATATGATGTTGATTATAATGTTTAGCGATAATTATATTAAGATTAGGATATGCAGGAGATAGTGATGATAATGCTAATGTCTTTACGCATGGTGATGGTAGGGAACTATTAATCTGGTGATGGCTGGGGAAGTTGAAGATGGTGATGAGAGTGCTCCTGCTAAGTAGTGGTACTTTAGATGATGATTACGATGCTGCGACTATTGCTGTAGCTGCTGAAATAATAATGATGCTGCATCTGCTGCTGACAATGATGATGCCCCTCTCCACCCACCTTCGTCCACCCCCACAGGTTCCGAGGAGGAGCGCCGCGTGGTGGTGTAAGCACTCAGCCTGCTGAAGCGCGGGAGTGCAGAGAGGCGAACCCACGAGGTGGAGACAGGAGGGCCAGGGTCCTCCTGGGGGAACAAAGCGAGCGGCGTCCTGGCGGGGTCGAGAGGGCAGGAGACGCAGCGGATATTGGCAGGGCTCTGGATGTACGCTCCATTGTAAACTCCGATGAGCACCTGATTGTATCCCCCGACGGGGACCCTATTGGGGCCCCAATGGGCAGGGACCCAGGTGGGGACCCACTACCCCCCGAGGTGACAGTGCCAGTTCTTGAGGAGACTGCACTGGGCTGGGAATTATCGGCCGAGGTGCGCGTGGCGAAAACAAGCACGTGACACCGCGTGAGTGTGCGGGCCACGAGGCCACTTACACGGGCGTCAACCTGGGCAGGTTTGAGGAGGAGGAGGCCCATCCTGGAGCTGGGACCGCACGAGGGTGAGACGGAAGGATGGAGATGGGGAGGCTCTACGAGGGAATGTTTGTCTTTGTTGTCCGGCACAGAGCGGCGCGTGCTGGTGTGCGAGCCCCCGAGCGCGTACCTGCACCTGGCCGTGGACCACTTCGCACTCGTGCTGGTGGCGTGTGCGCCGGTGCTCGACATGGCGCCGAGATTGCACGTGACCCGTGTGCGCTCCCCACGCTTGCACGTGAGTGGCACATTACAACAGCATCAACAATAACAACAGCAGCAACAACTATACGTCTCAAAATTTATTTTGGGTATCATAAATCCTCCTCCACCCGACACAGTGGTGCGATGGTAGGTGGTGGTGTGTTTATAATGGCATGATGATGGTATAATGTTAGATGATGCTGTGATGTTAGATGTATGTTGAACTTATTTCGCAATGTACGTAGACACCAGTGCTTAACGGAGGTGTGTTTGCAATGGCATGATGGTTTAATGATGGTGTGATGATGATGGCATGATAATGGTGTGGTGGTAATTGATGGTGTGATGATGAAAATGCGAAGTTACATGAAAGTGTGATCATGATGATGGTGGTAATGTGATGTTCGAAGCTGTTTTTGTGTGATGGTGTGATAATAGTACGATATTCGATGATAGTGTCAAGATGATGATAGTGGTTTCATGCTAGAAGCTGTGCTTGTGATTGCCTGATAATGGTGCAGTGGTTAGATGGTATGATATCTCCCCACAGGTGATGGAGGGGACCCACGTGGGTCGCGATCTCTTCTCCGAGCTCTGCTTCACGAACCCCGTGGCACGTGCCCTGCACCGCGTGCGCGTCCGCGTGGAGGGAGCCGGCGTGCACACGCCGAGCAACATACTCGTCGGGTATGGTGCCGTCGTCACAAGTTCACGATCATAACAAGATCAAATAGAAATAGACGATGTTTCGGGCAACTACCCTTGTTCATAACACACGTGTTATCGATTGAACCAAACACATTTGCTATGAAGACGGATCATCGCCCGAAACGTCCGTTATTATATAATTTTCTTTTTAAGTCCAGGATGTTATTGACGATTGAGAGTTTAAATTTTTGCGCGCGTATGCACCACTGCTAATGCAATCTCACAATACTGTTCATGTGTTTAGTGACAATTATACCTGATGCTCACACTTTTGCTGATGATGATGATGACACGTGCCTGTATGTGTCTCTCGCTTCACGATAGTGTAGCGGTGAGTGTAATTTGTTATGCACCCGCGACCCAGTTCTGGGCCTCCCCTAGGTCGATTCAGCCTCAAATGACTCTGAGGCGGTGTATGCAAGCTTCAGCACTGGGGGTACAATAGGCGGTCAGACGTGCTGCCCACACCACCCGCTCGTGTGCCTGTCCCGGCCTTAACAGTTGCTCGCAGTACTTGCCCCAACAGTTTGCTATAGACTATACAGGGGACCTTTGTCTTTGTGTCTGTCTCGGCGCAGCAACGTGGAGGGGCACGGCTGCACGCGCGTGCCCGTGGTTCCCAAGCGCCGCGGGGAGCTCACGCTGATCGCGAGCCTCGACTGCACGGAGCTGCCGCAGGTGCACGGGGGAGCCACCTTCCAGTGCGAGCCCTGAGACTTCAGCATCACCACCATCATCAACATCATGAGTCAACCACCATCATCAGCATCGAGAGTGGTACCACCATGATCGTGATCGAGTGAACTATCATGAACGTGTTTATCATCATTATCATCAAGGTTGCACTCATGACACACAAAGTGCTTGCCACAAATATATCACAAATTCCTTGCTGATCTCGTCAAGGAGCGTAAACCATCACGAGAACTCCGCTCATCCTCGCAGTGGCTTTTGGATAGCCATCAAACAAAGACGGTCACTGCATCGCGCACTTTCAGATCCGCTTGTGTAGCCGTCTGGAGCACTCTTTCTTCCGATATCAGGAAGCCGCTGAAGCTCTTCACTGTTAAATGTAGATTGAACACTCATTTAGAAATGCGTTTTGTGTTTAGTTTGTTGTCCTTCCCCGCACCTCCGACTCGCGCAGTTGGCTGCGCACGGTGCGAAAGAAGTTCAACGTACATTTCAACCACGAGGATCGTGTTCATCATCATAAGATGATCGTTATCAGAATCATCAAATTGAATGGGGACCAAAAATCGTGACGGGGTGTGGGGGGTGGAGAATAATCATTACAGAGCCGATGTTATGCACAGACTTCAGGCGCGATAGACAAGAACGCTACCGCCGTGATGTCACTGGAATGCGGTTACTCATGAAGAAGGGGAATGACATTTGTTGATGTCGCCAGTGGCGTTTATTTAACCACGCGCATCGCCATCGCTTCCTTCTTCCAGTTCCTGCAGTTGTTGGAGACGACACCGCACCTTCGAGGTCTTTTGATGGTAACAGTCTGGCTCAAGGTCTTCCAATTGATCCTATTATATATAGATTTATATTTTGGCTTATTACAAAGTGCGTTACAACAATTATAACATAAGATGATGGGTTAATAAAGGGGCTGTTGTAGTTATGGTAGGACAGGTGTGAGTGGTTAAGAAGGGGTAGCTACAGGAGTTAATATAGGGGTTGGGGTAGTGATAGGGGTTGGGCTAGTTATAGGTGTTGGGGTAGTTTATTATTTTATATTAATGGTATCGTTCAGTTACGTTCACTTTGGCATGTAAGCTGAAGGATTTTGCTTCTTCTTCAGTCATTTTCAAATTCAATTTCCTAACAAGGTAATTGTTCCAATGCGACTATGAAGACCTCATACTTGCCAGCATGATACCGAATTTAATAATAATACAGTAATGTATTGTGTTAATATCGATTTAAGTTTACTCATTCTGAAGTAGGCCATCCAGTCAAAACGTCGAGACATTATCAGGGACGGAATAAAGTGATGTATTTACCCCTTTTAATTTAGTCTAGTGTATGAGCAATTTGTTTTTGACACATGAACCTGAAATACAGTTCTAAAAAGTATAAAGAGTAGCACCTAACTCAAGTCACGTACGTAACTTTACCGAAATAACCAAAGGGTATGGATTACTGTAGTCACGAAAGCTTCAAATCAAGATTAGTAGCACCTAAGTCTACCTCTTATCATGACGTACTACATTAATAGTAGTACTTCTTCTTCCTAGCGTTGTTCCCGCTGTGGCACAGGGTCCGCTTTTCGACATTGTCTTCTCCATTTGGCTCGGTCCAGGGCATCTTCGGGGGATGCGTTGACCGTCTTAATGTCTTCCTTTATTCGATCCATCCATCGCTTCTTCGGACGTCCGCGTGGATGGCGTCCCTCTGGCTCAATACGCATGGCAGTCTTGGCCACTGATGACTCTTCACTTCGCATCACATGGCCGTACCACCGAAGCCTTGCCTCAAGCATCTTGTCCGCAATGGGGGCCACACCAAGTCGCTTCCGAACGTCTTCGTTCATGACACGATCCCATCGAGTCAGTCCAAGCCTCCATCTGAGCATCCTCATCTCCATGGTATGGAGGGCTTGTTCGTGTACAGTTGTGGCTGGCCAGCACTCGGATCCATAGAGTGCCACCGGTCGGACGATGGTCTTGTAAATTTTTCCCTTCAGCCTATCCGGCATTTTTCGATCACAGAGGACTCCGGTGACTTGCCTCCACTTCATCCATGCCGCATTGACTCGTGACCTCACATCAGTCGTGATGCGTCCATCTGAGCTGATGGTGGCGCCCAGGTACTTAAAGTCCGTCACTTTCTTCAGATCTTCTCCGTCAATGCTGATGGTGCCGTCGGTTTGGGGGCCACACTCCATATACTCTGTCTTTTTGATGTTGAACCTCATTCCATTTTCGTCCAAACGTTCCTTCCACAGGCGCGTTTGTCTTTCCACATCTCTCTCTTCATCTGAGAGTAGGACGTCATCCGCATATAGAATTGACCATGGCAGGGGCGTGTGCAGGTCAGCAGTGATCGTGTCCATGCACAGGATAAACAGGAGTGGTGACAGGGCCGATCTTTGGTGCACTCCAACGCTGATGGGAAATGGCGGTGATATGCCCACTGCGCACCTGACTGCACTGGTGACGTTCTTGTATAGGAGTTTCACCCAATGCACGTAGGTTTCAGGGACTCCATGGGATCGAAGCGAGTGCCAGATGAGGTCGTGGGGGATCCTGTCAGATGCCTTTTCAAGGTCTAGGAACGACACGTGCACAGCTTTGTTCTTCTCTTTGTGCCTCTCCAGCAGGAGCATAGCCGCGAATATGGCGTCCGTAGTGCCACATCCTTTGACGAAGCCGCATTGGTTGGGTGATGGGGTGATGATGTTTCTAATCCTCGTGTCCAAAACTTGCTCAAAGATCTTGATCGCATCATGACACAGGAGCCGGATTGGCCTGTAATTCGAGCATTCTGCCACGTCCCCTTTACCCTTCCAAATTGGAACCGTCGTGCTGGTCGACCAGGCTTCTGGGACCTCACCGGTGCTCGTGATGGTGCTGAAGAGCTGGGTAAGGAGGGCAGCACCCTGCCTGCCAAGGATCTTCCAGGCCTCAGCAGGGATATCGTCCGGGCCAGTCGCTTTCTCATTCTTCATTCTATTGATAGCTTGTTCCACTTCGATGATGGTGATAAGCAAAACGGGACCGAGGACGTGTTCAGCACTAATAATTGGTGGGTGGGGAAATTCCTGGTTGCAGATTCCAGAGAAGTAGTCGCTCCAGCGTTGAAGGATGGCGGGCGGGTCTCTGAGAGCGCTGTAATTCTCATCCTTTATGCATTTAACCTGACCATTATCCTGAGTCGAACGATGGCGCGCCTCTGCCAGTCGATAGATCTTATTGGCACCTTCTGGGGTGTCCAGTTCGACATACAGTTGGTCGTATTGAGCTAATTTCACCGCTGCTACTACTCGCTTCGCTGCCGATTTGCAGTTTCTGTAGTGTTGGTTATCCAGATATGCTAGCGTTTGGCACCACTTCTTGAAAGCTAGCTTCTTCTCTTTCACTGCTAGCTGCACTTCTTCGTTCCACCACAATATTTGCTTGTCAATGAAGCGTTTTCCCGGCTTCGTTAGCCCCAGTGCTTCCGTTGCTGCTGTGCACAGTTGTTCGGCGAGATCTTCCCAAATCGCATTCGCTGGTCGGTTG